TATTTTTCACTTTAATTTGATCCTTACCATTATTAGTAGGAATCTTAGAGATAATAAGAGCATTTGCTTTATTCAACAAAACATTTAATTTGGAAAGATCCTAAGTATGATTATACCATATATCATAAAAGTTTAAGTTAATCTCAAAAGGACCCCCATATGTATTAGCCAAAGGGCCATCACCCAACCAATTATCATACAAAAAGCTATAAGAACCATCACTAATGTCCCAATAACTAAAATTCTCTACAGGTTTAGAAACCTTTAACACCTCCGAGCAAACATAATAATCAGCAGGATTACTAGTATGAATATGAACATGCACTATACATTTTCTATTGGAATAAAACCCAATTTTTGAAGGCATAACAACACACATAGTATGAGTAAAATGCATAATATCAAAATGTAAACTGACAACAAATTCATCATAAATAAAGGAATGTGATGCACCTAAATCGAATACAACTGTTCCAGACTGACCTTGAATTAGGAGTGTACCTGTAACAACTTCTTCAATTCTTTGGCTTTTCGAGGAGTAATTGCAAAAACTCAAGCTTTCACTGGTTGCTCAGTTCTGCGCTTCAAAGTTTCTCCATTTGTTTGCATTGAAGTCTTTCCCAAAAAATTGAGTTTTGCTGGGTTGATTGCCTTCCAAAAATTTTTCAGGCTGTCCCTGTCCTTGGATTACTTGTGGTCTGCCGTCTTTCTTCTTTTTTTGTGGACAATTTATTTGATTGTCTTGGCTGCCCACATTTGTAACATTTTCCAGAACCAATCAAGCACTGCCCAAAATGTATTTTTTTTTCACATTTTTAACAAATTAGCTTTTCCACTTCAGGTTGTTTCTGCTTACCTTCTGATTTAAGTTCCTTGCTTTGAAAGTATTCTCTTTTACCAAAATTCTTTCGTTTGCTTGCTTGATGTTGCCATTGCTGACTGGAAAGGTTTAGCTCTTTTTTAGCTTTTCTAGTCCTTTCCACAAGCACGGAGAAATCGCTGATTTCAAATGGAGCTATTGCCAACCTCAACTGATCTTTTAGACTGTGCATAAATCTATGACACTTTTCCTTGTGAGTGCTGACATAGGGGTTGCATATCTGGAAAGAGAAGTGAAATCTGCCTCATATTGCATAACTTTCTTAGAACCTTGAGTTAGATTGAATAACTTATCTTGCAATGCTAATCTGGTTGAAGGTGGACTAAACCAATCTTTAAAGAATTTAACAAATTCTTCCCATTGAATTTGTGGTAGAGGTGCCAGCTGAAATTTTTCTCTATGTTATGACAACTACCATCTTTCTTCGTTGCCTTCTAGCATGAATGCACCTTGTATCACTTTTCTGTTTTCCAGACAAATTATACCATCTAGAATTTTTCCAATATTCAAAAACCAATCTTCAATTTCTTTAGGACCACTGACATCCTTAAATGCAGGTGGCTTGAAAGACTGAAATATCTTCAAGTGTCGATCAACTTCTGCCCCAATTTTAGATTGGGGCCCCATACTTGTGAAGGATCATTCGATAACTGCCATTTTGTCAACCATTTGTGATATCAGCTGCACAATGTCCTATAACTCAGTAGCTCTGGTGCTCTCATTTGTTTTGTTCCAATTTTCATTTCTGTTCATAATATTTTTAACTCTAACTTCATGCTTTGCACCTAGCCTACGAGACCAACCTTTCGTATTTTCTGATTCTTCTCCAGATGTGTTTATCTAAATTGACACAATTTATTATTCACATGCAATTTATGATTTAATAATTTTATTGTGTACACGTAACATCTAAAGTCGTAAGGGTTCTCTACCCCAGATTCATTAACCTATAGCTCTGAATAAATCAATTCATATTTGATCTTATTCTTACTTCTTCTAAATCCATCAAACTCCGTTATTCTTTTTATCCAATAACTATGCTCTGATACCACTATTTGTCACACTCAAACTAACCCTCTAGTAGGGTCAATCGTAGTGAGACAGATGCTGACAATTCGACCATACCAACTCTCACCAGCACTCCTCATGACTTTATAATCAAGTCCCAGTGGATGATGAATTAGTCTAACTGAATCACTGCAATATATGTGATACATTGCATTTCATCTACATACTCGGAAGCTTGAAAATTATATCTAAAACATGAAAATTATACAGAGATGCTAAGTGCAATATAATAAAAATATATAACCAAAACATATGTATAGACTCCTAAAACTATCATGCAAAAGAGAAATACACACCTGACTACTCGCTACTTGCCCCAGTGCTCATTGCCCCTGCGCGGAAGACAACAATGAAGAATGAGCAACAACAAACTCAAAGAAATAATTAGGGCAAACATAAATTTTTCGACAAAAAAAGAAGCATGTATGTTCATATGAAACTATACATGCCTATACACATAAGCAATAACATGCTAGTATAATAGAAAAAAATGCAAAGAAAACAGGTATAAATAGTGCAAAAATTAAGACTGCAATGTAACATGTATGTTGTAAGCATAAAATCATAATTATAATCAAAAGAATGTTCATAAATATGTTCATAATATGTTATCATAACAATGTCATTTCATAGAGTTTATATCATAGCAATGTCACTTGTTTAATGTATAGGACTCAATTATTTTTATATCCTTTCATCATGAGTCATCACCCTGCTCCAAATGTCATATAAACTGTCAATAAATGTTGAGCTTTTCTTAACATAACAATTATTAATAGCCCTCTTTGATACCCACTGTCCCTAACGTTCTGTCATCGTTTAATCTCAACGGTTCCTAGAGTTTCCTCCCCGTATAAATATCAGGAGTCGTAAATACTACATCTCTGCATAATGTACTTGGAAGTACTTATATGGTAGTTATTATTCGTGACATATCTTGAAGCATAATGTATGTAGCATACATTCATGGACATTTCATATACACGTATGAATCATAAATGAATGTCTGCATATATCACAGTGTAACATAACATCATATGTATATTAAAAAAAGTCAATTTGCATTCATACATTTTAAACTGGTAATCATCTATAATATAAAAGAAGTCTACATACATCTATGTTGAACGAGAAATAATATGAAAACCTATAATAAATTATTTTTCTTAAATTAGCACGAGATCATTTCACCTGATTTGACGGAGCAGTCCTACAGCGAGTGCCCACACACTCATCTTGAGCTCGCTGCCTCACATAGATAACTTGGGGCTCGTAGACAACATATGATTTCATTAAATTTGGCTCATAACGTGCATTAACTCAAAAATGTACTTTGCTTGTCAAAACATACATCAAAAGTGCTTTTCGTCATAAATTAGCCTTACCAAAATCACCAATTTCACCTTTTCTCTTTCCTATCATCTCAAACCTTATTTCTTCTCACTGATTGCAACAACAAACAACAACAACAACAACAACAAAACCTTTATCCCACTAAGTGAGGTCGGCTGCATGAAGCATGAATCGGTCGGCTGCATGAATCTTTTTTCTCCATTGCATCTTATTTAGAACCTTACTTCTTCTCATTGATTGCATGCTAAAATATTTTTAGAAGCTCTTAAAATCAATTACGAGACTTCCGACACAAAATCAACGCATCCGACGGCTACTGAAAATGAAAAAAAGAATAAAAATGAGGTAAATATCAAGATGAAATAGTGAGGAAAGAAATAAAAGTCTCAAAATGACGTGAGAGGCGAATTTGTGCCTACAAAAATTGCTTCAAGGCTTCGAATCACGGGCTGCAGCTTTCTTATGCACCGCTTGGTTCGTGCTTGCTCGCTCCTTGCACTGTAACAAGGGTCACAGCTTCAGACGAGCTGCTATCAAGTGCTGTTGTGAGGGACTAGAATTGGGAGGAGATGATCAAAGCTAGGGACTCCCTATTCAACCGAACAAAGGGATTAAAATATGTGAGGTGATGAACAATGAGGGTATGGGAGATTAATGGAGGATTAGGATAATTAAAGATTAATTAAGTTAATAAAACTTAAAACTTCTCAATTTTATATCTCTCAATTTGTTCATTATGCATGCACGGTGGTTTATATGGAATTGATCAATTTACTGCGTAGAATTTAATAAAATTATTTCGATTGAATTCCGAGAGATGTAACATTTGGGGCATTTTTTCAAATTTGCCGTACTTTACCTTGTTCCTTGAAATTTGTTCGTTGCACTACAATCCAAAACCCTCCTCCAACACTCTAGCCCTTACAAAAACCCCCATTCCAACTCAAACCTGCTGTCATAGACCCATATCTAGCCCTCCTATTCCTGCCGCCACCCTCGACTTACCTTCCCGTTGTTGCCCAACCCCCACATGCACCCTTCCCCTATCAGCCAACCACTACCCATCCCTTTTCCATCATTCTAGCGTGTCATTTGTATGCTTGTTGTCGTTTATTTTCTGTTTTTGAAGAGTCATTGTTGTAGCATTTGAATTTCAACAATAAGATTCCTATGTTCATTTTGGTTTGGGTTTACTCCGGTATCATCCGTATTATGTGATAGTGATTGGAACAAGAGGGGGAAAATAAGGGAATTGTCAAGTAGAGGAAGGGATGCAGATTGTGATGGTCGATAAATGAAATGTGGTTGCAATGATAGGATACCGATGGAGTATTTGGTTTTTATGAATTTTTATTTAAACCCGAATATCTTACTATTTGTAAACTATCTCCAACTAATATTGATGTGCTATTTGACTGATTGAACCAACCCAAGTTTGAGATCACTTGTGTCTTGAACTTGGTGGGCACAAATTGAGCCAAATCAATTACCTACTCTATGTCGATAACTAAAAAAGAAATACAAACATTTACCATGCCACCATTAATAGCTGGAAAGCCGTATGTATGATAAGATCTTGCTTGGCTTTAAAGTATGACATAAGTTATTATTTTTGGATAATTACTGTAGATATGCACTAATTATTACCATATTTTCCAATGCGAACAATACAATTAATCATAATATTTTTTCTTTGCAGTATCCAGTCCCAATGAAGAAGGAGACAAATGGGAGGACAGATCTATATATAGGCCGTTGGATGAAATCAAGGCCACGTGAGAAGGTATGTGCACGAAAGCGCAAGCTTAAATCATTATTTACATTGATAAAAGCCTTATAGTTGGTTTTGAGAATAAGGTTATGCTCTTAGGTTGTTTGGAGAGAATGAATGTTAATAAAAATAACCTCATTTTAGGTTGATAGCATTGCCTCTCCTTTTAAATTTTAACTCATTGGAGAGAAATTCGTATTTATTTTACTTTTGCACCTTGAAATTTGTCATGGTGACACTTTAGACCTTTTCCGATCTAAACATCTTTTTATTTTGATTTTGCTGTACAAGTATGGTACGCCTATCTCATTTACTTTGACTGGTATTTTTAGAAGGAAATTCAGGGCAAACATAAATTAATTCTTGGAAATAATGATATATTTCACCTTTTATTGAAGTCAGTTGCAAAACGCAGGTGGATGTGGTTGGTAATTATGCCCATTAGAGTGAACTTTTCGTTTATCAGAAGTATTTCTTAAGGCCAACAATTTTCCTGAATCATAAGTTTCAATAGGGTAATGCGCGCTAAGATATAGTGTTGTTAAACTTTTCACTTAGAAGAAGATTATTTGATATTTTAAAGCACCTATATTACATGTTCAATAGAGAATGACAGTGATTATCTTATACAGGTTGAGAAATACATTGTGACTTGGTGATATGCATATAAATATCGCAGATATTGTAAACACGAGAATCATAATGCATATACGGATGTCTAGGAGGACTAGAGGTTAAAATGATGGTTGATTACTTCAAGTGATGCATGAGAAGATAATAGTGGGAATTACATAAAACTTGATACGTGAGAGAAGTACGAAAAGTATGATAGTAGGCTTAGGTTGAGTGGCAAGGTGGCTTGCCAAGAAAATTAGAAACTTGCTATCTAGAGGGCCTACAAGCTTGGTCTTTGAAAAACATCCCACACAAGTATTCAAATGGGACTGGATGCTCAACTTTATACAAAACGGGTGCCTCATCAAAAGTAAGATTTTCAAAACAATACTAATATGTGGTAGGAACCATGCGTACTTAATTTCGTTCAGATAGTAAGTATGAGTATTTTTGCCAGAATTGCTGAAAGTTTTGATAGATTAAGCAAAAGCTGAATGGTCTGGCCGGGCCAAAGGCCGTTGCTTCCAGAGAAGTCCTATTCTCATCCGTGTCCATAATAGGATAAAACAGTTGATTAGGAGATTTTATGCTATTCAGGATCATTTTTTTTATGTAAAACATTAATCTTTTTCCTTCTATTGAACACTACAGTTTCTCTAATGACTTGAGAAAGATTGTAGCTTTGTTAATATTTTTTAGGGTATTTATTGATATTTATTAGCATAGAATCCATCCCAAACTAGAATGTGCACCTAGAATGCCCCCACATTGTTGAAGAAAGCAAATTCTATGGTTGCTGGAGTTTCTTAGTTGTACACTGACCTCCAATTTTCTCATAGAAACTTGTTTCTCTTGGAACTTTTAGAAGATCGGAGCAATAATGAGAATTGATTGGGTGGTTCTGCAAATTCACTTTGCTTTATAGCATTTAAAAATGCGAGAATGACTGCTTCAGATTCATTGCCATATAGCAACTGTACTTTCTGTTCAAAAGTTTCTAAGGTTATCCTTTCTTAAGATGCAGTTCAAAGTCTGCAACATAAAGACAGTTACCTTAGCTTGAGCAGCATCCCTCCAAGTGGAAAGCATTTGAAGTCATCCCCAACTTGTGATTGAAGCCAGTCTTAGGATGAAGTGGTATAGCATCGAGTGCATTCTTTGGAGAAAATCATTTCTCAGGTTCCAAATGACCAGATTTTTGGGGAAATAATTCTCCTCTACTATGCCATTGTCTATTAAAACAACAAAAGGAGTTTGTAGCTAGCACTTAAAAGCTTCACTATTGATTCTATACGTAGTCTTATACTTGGTAGTTCTTTTCAAGAAATCGGTGTTCAAAATAACGTTAACCTCAAACAATAGAAACAAATGAAGCTTAGAACAAGCTATTGCTCCTTTATAGAGATCAAAGAAGATTTTCTCTTTTGATTTTTCTTTCATTAATCTTATTAAATTATTTGATCTTAATTGTCTTCCTTAAAAGGAAGAGAGTTTCTCCTAGATACCAGTTTGATTGGTCTAATTTGTCATGGCTAGTTCAGCATATCTATATTTAGGCCTAGGTTAAATTAATTTATCCATAAGAGACCAAGCTGTTGAGTTGGATTAAGCGATGCCCGCCAATTAATGGTTCAACTTTCATAATTATGAGACTAACATAGAGCACATCTCTGTCTTTTTTTCTCATGAGAACAATCATCCAAACAACCTTTGTACATTTATTGGACTTATTGGAGTTAAAGACACCCTCACTATGCCATTGTGATATTTATAAATAAGGTTTTAAAGTGCTCATTCTAACCTAAATCCATTTTGCATTCCTTAATTTTATAATTAATGTGTGTGTGAGTGTGTGTGAGAGTGAGTGAGAGAGAGAGATTGTTGTTGCGGGGGTGGGGGGTGGGATGGGGGTGGTATTCAAGAGACTTTATCTTTTAGTAACGGCCTCATCGGAATACACTCATATTAACTTTGTTGATTTTAGTGTCATAGATTATTCTTGAGAGACAACACCCCATTAGCATTGTTGACACATACTAGATGATTATATAAAGGAAGCAGTTCTAGAGATAGGATTCCAACTCATCCTCTTGATTAACACATTGATATATTATTGCACATAACATAAGAAAATGGGAATACAATTTCAATATGCTCGAAGTACATGGACAGTTAATGTGTCTTAAGGGAAATTGCTAACATGATTTAGACTCTTTAATTGAACTTATTGTGTATTTGTTAGAATATATGATAAATAGAATGTTATAATACTGAAAAAGTAATCATGTAAAAGCTTTGATCTTTCGATTTTTTTGTAATCCAAGTGGATCCCAAATTTCCAATTTTCTGGATTATTGAGGACATTCAAAGTTCATTCTAGAAAATTCCAATTTTTTTACCAAGTTCTCTAAGAGAGCCGCAAGCCATGGCCTGTTGGTTGACGGAGTTCACTCTAAGTCCCCTCAAATCACGGGTTCGATCCCCAGTGACGCTAGGTTTTCAAATATTTAGGCACATGACGCGAACTCTAATCATGGGGCTTAGCACATAGGAAATCAGTATTTGGGCCTCTGCCAAATACCGATTTCATTTTAATATATAATATATATATACATGATACATATATATATATTCACCTCCTTTGGACGCTATATATATATATTATTTTTTTTTTTTTGAAAAAGCCCAAGGGCTAATATATTAAAGATAAAAATACAGATATGTTTGTATGGGTGAGCCTAAACACCCAACCCATACGGTACAACACGCATAAAAAAAGGTAAAAGATGGGTACATATAGAAATAAAAGAAAAAAAAAACCATCCAGTCGCTGAAAAAGAGTGGATCATCCAATATATTCCCAAACTGGAGTCGGTCTCTATTCTTCTTCTTCCTCCTAGAATAGAATTGTCATTCCTCATCCGAAGAATTAGTCTGATGGGGTGGTAGAACTGAAGCAAAAGGAATACCAACCGTAGTACCCATAATAGGTTCTAGTATATGTGAAGTATGAGTAGCCTCTACACCGAATACTTCCTGAAGAAGTGGAGCTACAAGGCTCTCCTAATTATCAGTCTGAACACTATCATTTGTAGGTAATAGCCCATCAGTATTATTTTCTGAGGTTTGAAGGTGTTAACATCGCATCACTCGCAGTAACAATAACAGCAGTGTCATTGTGGGGTCCTCAGGGGCAACAACACCTCCTGTCTGGTAGTATCCTCCCTAGGTGGAACTAAAATGTCCAGGGCAATGGGGTTAGACCAATCCTTATTCACTTGAACATTAGATTTCAAATTTGGATGAAACTTGTGACATTTATCAAGGACATGACCAAACATTTTACAGTGGATATAATATGGGGGTCTGTGCTTCATGACGATTTGTTGCCAATAACCATTATTGGTTGTGCCCTGTCAGACTTCAAGAACATCAGATAAAGCAATATCCCTTTCCACAAGTATTTTGGTCATCGAGAGACTGGTTGGGTTGAAAGTAGGCAGATCTAGCTTCAAAGGATCCCTAAGGACGGCCCCAATAGAGTAGAGAACCTGATGGTGATAAAAATGCAGCTTGAGACCAAATAAACTAAACCATACCGGTATAGTGGGAGTTTCATGATTTGGGTCGAAATTAGGAGACCACTTGAGTAACTTCATTGATTTGCCTTCGATATTAAGATATTTCTTGGATAAAATCCTGGTGTAGTCTTCAACCACTGTTAGTTGGATCAACACATGTCTCTTATCCATGAGTCCCACTTTCCACTTGCCTGCTAGCTTAAGATCATCAACATTTTTTCTGATAATATCCATAGGAGGGTGTCCCCACTGAAATTTTCCAATAAGAGTAAACTTGAATTTTTCCATCAGAGTAGAAATTTCTGATAAAGAGAAAAAGATTGCTTCTTTTCCACATTTACTACTCTCATTCTTACTAAAAGGACAATGATCAGTGCCCACACGAGATTCCTTACAACTTGAGGGGAATCCCACTGCGGACTCCACTTGAGGGTTACCCACTACGTGGGCAAAGGAGACTTTATCCG